TCTGAGTTGGAGTGCAGCAGGCCTTCCAAGCGTCTCGACGGCTCCGTCAGAGCCGCAGCATCGACAGCCACCACTGGCATCGCTGAAGCGCCGCTGGCCATGCCAGTTGTGCCCGATCGTCTGCAGCACAGAGTTCAACCTAACGAGTCACATGCGGCGTCATGCAAACCGCAAGCGCCATGCCTGCCCCGTTTGTCCAACAACGTGCAGCACGCTGTTCAACTTGGCCAGCCACATGCGCACCCACACGGGCGAGAAACCGTTCAAGTGTGAGATGTGCCCCATGGCGTTTGCCGCCAAGGGCACGCTGGTGAACCACCGACGGACGCACACGGGAGAGCGGCCATTCCAGTGCCCCATCTGCAACAAGAGCTTCACGCGCAAGTTTGTGCTGCGGGACCACATGACCTTCCGACACGCAAGCGAAAGTGTCTCGTGATGAAGCTTCTAGACCAACAATTCTCCGCTAATGTAAATGTTTTGAGTTGGCATGTCGTAAAGCCAGAAAGGCTCGGTGATGGATGTGACAACGGTAGTCCTTTTGACGCGACAGCGTTAAAGTGCTCATTTTGCAGAAATTCTGGCGTCGACATCGGTGTCGTTGGTTGTGAGCGAAAAATCGTCTGTGGCATAAAAATCGAGAACGATGCAAATAAAATAAATAATAAAAAAATCCTAGAGCAGAGTAGAGAGCGAACCAGGGTTGTTTGGGTCCAAGTGGGGATCAAACTTGTGTTGTTTGCATGACAAGGGAATGTTCTACCCCATGGCCACGCCTCCTTTTGTGAAAGCAGTGGAAAAACTTCCTCTGCTTGGAAATGCAGTGAAAGTAGCTGTCATGCTTCACAAACACATGCGTCCTGTATACATGCTTCACAATGCAACATGAAATATTGCAGTAATAATGCGTGGTACAAGCGTCCATTGCCAACGGGCATCAGAATATGTGATAATCATGACTGGGTGGTTGAAAGCCAGTAAAATGTGCACGCTACTGCACCTATTCCCTCAAGTTAAGGCCACGTGGTGGGTGCATATCAAATTCGAGAAGGTTTCATGCACTAAGTGTTTGAAGTATGCACTAGAAACAGGATATTGTGTTCAACTCCTAAAGGCGAAGCTTTAGGGTCCCCTAATTTTTTGTCCAAACAATTTAGTCTTCAATTGTACAGCACATCACAAGCAGTTATTGTTGTGTCACTGTACATGAATACTCAGGCAGTACTGAGCAGTTATACCAATCACAAAATTTATACTGGTGTGCTGCTAAAGTTGCAGAAATAGTAAAAGTCCTTAAACAACTTGCTGTGTGTGAGTGCACAAACCTTTTCGGGGATGGTATGTCGGTAATCATTCATTCCAGGACATCACAGTACCGCAGGACTGAATAGTTGCAGTTATACTTCTGTCACTTCATTTGTCTGCTTTGTTAGAACACTTTCTTTTGTGTCTGGATTCAACTCTAAACAAAACCGAATGTTTGCATTCATTGTGTGTCTTTGTGTCTGCCATGTTTCATTATTTATTTTGCCATCGCTGTGATAAAGAAATCTATTTAACGAAATTTCCAATATGAAGAAGAGAGGGACAGAGAAATTTCAGCTGATTTTTTTCTTTTGCTATTTGATAAATTCTCATCCCATTCATTGTATACATAAATTATTACTGCATCAATAAATGCATTCATTAGTTTCTTGCAGCTCGGCATGATAGAAATCTAGCCGCTTCTTTCCAAAAAACATATTTATCACGGAACTTTGTAACGTGCACAGAATGCTGAAGATTATGCCGACTTGACACTTTGCTTCCTGCACAGGCCATATTTACCCATTTCACACACCTGCAACCACGTTCTTGCTGCGATCGTCCTAAAAAAATGTTGCAGTCGTTATTGTCTAAGACAATCTGCACCTACCGTATTTGCATGACTGTAGGTTGGGCTGTTATGTCTTCTTTGGAAATCCAAAGTTGGAGGCTCGACCTAGAATTGAAACCTATTTCCAGTTGTGAAGTCATTACAAAAATAATGCCTGCATATTTTTGCAAAGCTAGCTTTTCTGCGGAGCTTTAAAGCACTGCCATGAAGCTATCTTATCACACCAGAATTCAATTTCGTTGATTTTGGAGACGTAATAAATTTTGTTTCATAAAATGTGCTCGTGCTCTTTTTGTTTGTGTTTTTTCTGTTGCTTTTTTTTCTAAGCATCTTTTTAGGGGTCGACCCGCATTTAAGACAAGACTTTTAGTTGTGTATATGCGGTAGCTTTGTTTTTGTCTTGCACGGAGTGTGCTACTATTGCAGTGAAGCCAGCTATTTCCCATGTGCAACTAAATTTTTCTTTGTGTACTTTAAAAAAAGTGTTGTTTTAATGTCTGTCTCATGTATATTTGAATTGTTAATTGCAAGAAATGCAGAAAAAAATCTGAAGTTCAGGAATGCTAACCTGAAACGGTTAGACAATTCTAATTAAGCAGCAAGAATATGCAAGATAAGCACACTGCACTTGTATCATTAGTATGTACAGTCGAAGTGAATGGTGAGATGCAAACCCCATTTTATTTCCCCCCACAAGGTGCTTATATTTTAAATTTAGTTTCAACAAAACTTGATATTGAAAGCATATTTGTAGCTGTTCGATACAAAGTTATCTGTATTGCCTGTGAGAGAACTAGTGAAAGCAGTAATATTATAAAGAGTGATTTGGCACATATCTTGTATCAACGAAGCTTTGTTTGCATGTTCATGATTGTGCATTGGGTGAAGTGTGATAGACAAGCCTTTTATGTCGTGGCATTTTCAAAGCATTGCAGTGCCCTTTCAGAAACTTGCATAGACAGGCAGTGTTGTGAAAGGCTAATCTTTAGTTGATGTGCAGATGAGTGAGAGCATGTGTTTTCTGCATTGCCAGGTTTGTTTAGGAATATAAAAAATTTTCGCTAGCACTCGTAGTAAGTTGCGTGATGTTGCATTTATTTATAAAAAAAAAAGGTTGTTTTAAAATGCACAGATTAATACATTGTTCAAATACTCATCTCATCAGTAATAGAGATTTTTTTTCCTTATTGAGAAGCTTGCTTTCTGAAATAAATCATTGATTGTTCTTCAGCATCGTCAATGAGTTTCCTCCTGTGATGATTATAAGTTTTATGATCAGAAAAAGAATGGACAGTGACACTAGCATAACAGATTTGATTTCCTGTATCCAAGTTCTGAGAATGTTCTTTCAAAATTTGCAACAGAGAAAAAGCGCTAAGAGTAGTGACATGTGCTCAACTGCTTTAGTGACCTTTTTTCACTTGAAATGGAATGTCAGTGTTCTTTAGTCATGTTAAAATATTGCCACTTTCAAAAGGTAGTGCAATATTGTGATGTCAAGGTTTCTTCAGTTTGCTTAGAAATTCATCAACAATATTGAGTAACCAAGAAACAATGTACTAAAGTGGGCAGTCATATCGTCAGTGTCTGCAGCATTGTCGCACCCCTACGCCGTTTTGTAGAGGCAGTGCATCTGGTGCTAGTTCTGGAAAATGAAATTTCATGATGCACAAAGCTGTACCAGCTTTTCAGAACTTGACTCACTGAAATATGATTGTTTTCTTTCGATCCACGCTGTCTGGCAGCTTATAATAACAGACACCATTGGTCTCTGCAGCTTAATTTTTTCAACCTTGGGGAGACGCCAGCTTTCATCAGTCACATTTAACCACATAAATATAGTACGGCTTGCAAAACCTAAAAGTTTGTAGTATTGGTATTGGTTGTCGCACTGACAAAAAACCCAGTTTCTTTGCCTGCTCCACAAAATACTCAGGGAGGCCTGTATCGTGCAAACACAGGGTTGCCCACATTTTAAAGCGTAATTTGGGAGCTTCAGAGTTGATATTTAGGAAAACTGAACAACTTTCTGTTTTCATGTGGCACATATCAGAGTAGCTGAAGAGATGTATGGAAAATTTGAGATCAGTGCTTTTCAGAAAATCATTGGAGTTGTCCTCTTTGCTTTACTGTTGCTTGGATGTTGGCTTTAATGTTAAAAAGTGCACATTACTCTCACATCATCAAATTGGGTGCTTAAGCCATCAGGCTCCTGAGTACCACATTACAACTGGAAGGGATTTATACAGCAGGAAGTGTAGGTGTCTTAAGCCTATTGCATGAGTCTCAAAGCGGCGCTTAAGATTCACAGCTCAGCCATTGTTCAAATTCTGACTGCCAACAACAATGGCTGCTGTTCATTCACTGCATTGAAGGTCTACCTACGACATACTTCAACCCTATCTTCTCCTGAAGCTCCTCTCAACTGTCTGAAGCGAGCATAATTGATGAAAACGAAAACTTACACTAACTTTTCAACCGAGATATTTTACTCGACCACGGACTTTGTAGGAGTAGGACAGGATGATGAAGCACACCAGGGCCCACATGTTAGTGCTGTTAAATAGAATAGCTATTGCTGCCTTGCAATCTGGCTACACTCTTTCCTGTGTCACACGATCATTGTAGTCAGTCATGCCTCGGGAGTTAGATGTGCCTGTAGTTACTGATGTTAACATTGGTTGCTGCATAAAGATGCTTAGGTATGATCACTTTGCATCAACACACATGAGATGTTGTTTCAGTTACATGGAACTGTGTCATCAATTAAAGATTGAAGAAGAACAGATAGTTGTTGACTACGCAAACTAATAACTATAACTCTACTTTTATGAGCAGAGAATTGGCATAGTGAGCTCCAGTTAAGAATTATCAAATGCGGTTTACAGTGCAAGTATACCATACCAATAACTTCAGCTGAATGTATGTGAATCAGCTGTGGATTATGTTTTCGGGCTTGAAACTGCTGTATCTTCATCCAATAGTGAAAATGTATGGATGTGATTGGCAGGTTGGCATTGCTTAATGCTACAGCATGTGTGGATAACATTGTGTGCTTTTGTTTTCCTGTGCTCTCTCATACCAAAAGTCAGGCTTTTTTATATATTTTATTGGTTTCCCTTGTGCTCCCCTACTGTGCATCTGTTTTCAAAACTGCTAATCCACCTTGTTGTTTGTTCCCCCCTCTCAGTGCTTGGGCAGTTTGAGCCGGCAGATTCATTCGACCTGAGCACTGCTTTTAGCATCCACGAAGGTACAGCGCCAGCTGGCCATGTGCTTCTCCAGTTTCCTTCTTCGGTCCAGCTGATCTTCACGAAACAGCTAGAGGCAGGAAACGTGGAGGTTAGTGAAGTATTGCTTTCTACTGCTGTGGCAGTATTCTTATATGACCACTAATAGAGAAAAAGGAAAAACATTTGGCATTAGAGCTGCTTCATAAGTGGAATCTTCAGGGACTGCACAAAATATTATAACAATTTGCATGTTGTCCCTCTAAACAAAAACAGTTGTGTCGAGAACCATAAAATAAGCATTGCTGGGCCTGGGAATGCATGTAGTATATTTTTAATGTAACTGCCTTAAAAAACATCAATGAACAAATGCGTCTGATGATTGAAGCACGGCGTATCAATAATAGTGGCAGCACATGTGTGAGTCAACCATTGATTAGCATACATAAAGATGAAATCAAATCTGAAGGTCTACCTGTCGTGTAGACCTCACGTGTCGGATCGATAGGATCGCTTATTACATGGACATGCGCAAATAAGTTTTCGTGCATTCTTTCCTTTCCATCATTGTGCGCATCTTCAGTTGTTAGGTGCTTGTGGTGTCTTCTGTCCATGTCTGCACACCCTGTCTTCTAGAAGAACACACTGTTGTGCCAATTGGTAATCCATTATGAGAGAAACTGCACATACTAACTGAAGTTTTATTGGAAAAAAAAAGCGAAATGTAAGAGGCAATAAAATCACGTGTGCAAGATTAAACAGCAGAAAGGCACTACGTAGGCAGATCGAGATACCGAATCTCTACTTTGGTTAATTCCACAGATGGCCTCGTGACACAGATGTCTGTGGCTTTGAAAATAAAGTGACCTTAAGAAAATATAACAAGCAGCCTTCAACAAGCCTGTCATTACAATGCCGGGCTTGTGTAAGTGCAGCCTGGTTTTCCAAGCAACAAAAGTTGTGGCACAGCACGAGGAAAGTACCATACATGAGGTTGTTAAAGCTTATAGTATGTGTTTTCTGGCTCAAATGTATGATGTCTGAATACTGCATGCCGTGAAAGTTATCAGTGTGGCTCTTGCGATGCCTCAGAATCATTTCGATACTCCTTTGAATTGTTGCAGAGCTTCTTATAAAACGCAAGGCAGAGCTCTCATCGGAGCTTTTTTTTTTAGACTTGTTAATGTCGAGGCTTCAGGCGGTAGCGCAGATTTTTTTAACCCTTTTTAAAACAGGCATCTTAATGAACACTGGTCACCACAAGGGGATTCAAAACATGCACTGCTAACCAAAGCCACTGAGACCACAGCACATAAGGACACGAGAACAAACGCAAGTGCATGGTATCATAGAAAAAACAAAGAGAACATTTGTTGGCTTTTGGTGAATCCAGTGGTATTTGGCCAACACATGTTGCCAACATAAATTGTGAAATGGCCGGAACTGTTGCCGTTGATTGGAATTGGGAGCATTGTTGCACTATTTTGGCAATTTTAAATTTCCGGATTTGACTATAAAGCAAGGTTTGACTTCATGTGATAAATATCTGGGAAATATATAAATAACTCTTACTACAATCGAATAAGTATAGTGCAATGTTGTTGGGAGTAAATTAGTATATTCTCAAATTTGTTTATATTGCAACATAGTTGAAAACATTACATCACCCATAAAATTATTTGCTGACGACTGCGTCATATACAGAGAAAGCACGACTGAATCTGATACTTGCGTTTTGCAAACCGACCTAGATCACATAGCGGACTGGTGTAAAGAATAGAAAATGAATTTAAACATTAAAAAGTGTTGCAGTGTAAGCTTCTCAAGGAAAATATTCAAATCATTTCATGAATATAACATCTATGGCGTACTTATTAACACACACTGCAATTATAAGTATCTCGGTGTTCATTTTACTGAATCGTTTACATGGAACCAACACATTAACACGGCCATAGCAAAAGCTAGTAGGATGTTATACTTTATTCGAAGGAATTTCAAACAGGCGACGCGCGAAATCAAGGAAACTTTATATTTCTTGCAGGTCAGGTCCATACTTGATTATGCATGCGTAGTATGGGACCCCCACCAAGACTATCTTATAAATAAAATAGGAAAACTTCAGAACCAAGCGGCAAGGTTTGTTTTAAATAATTATAGCTCCTACGCCAGCGTTTCACAAATGAAGGCCACTTTGGGATGGGATCTGCTACGTGTACGTAGACAGAAACTACGGCTTAAACTGTTGCACCAGATATATTACTCTAACACAGGAATCAATCACCATAGCTACCTTGTTCAACCCCCCTACACATCCACTCGCTGTGACAATAGCAAAAAGGTATCTACCTTCAAATGCAGATCCAATACTTTTTTCCACTCATTCTTTCCAAAAACAATAAGAGAGTGGAACAGCTTAAGTGACGACTTGGTTAATATAACAAATGATTTGTTTTTTCTATGCTGTTCAATTTTTCTTGCATTATGTGTGGTCTGTGTGTATGAAAATGTATCTTGTGGTGCATTAATACGTTCTGATAAATGTGGCGGTGGTTCTTTTTTGTTTTTATTTTATGTATTTAGCTACGCATTCCTTTGTACTGACTGTTTTTTTTTTTTGTTCCCCCCTACGTAATGCTTATATGGCGATGTAGGTACTCTGTAAATAAATAAATAAATAAATAAATAAATATCAGGTTCAGTGGTAATGTGTGATAGTAAGGCATTCTAATCAGTTATGGTGCATTGTAAGAAATAAAATGCATCATGAGAAGACTGATAGATTATGCATTTGACGCTATATGAATGGTCACAGCGAAGAAAGGTAACTTGAGTGACTGAAAAAAAAAAATTGTGACAAAGTGAAGGATTGGGATATGGAAAACTGATAGGTGGGAAACCATATCATTGCAAAGTTCTATATTGTTTGTCATCTATATTTTTTAGCTTGTTGATGCTGGTGCAGCATGGATAGTCTGAAAAGATGAATCGCACAATACTGTTTTGCAGGTTTCAGCGCTACTGATTGTATAGGTTTGCTAGATATCCCAAACAGCAGACATGTATTTTACTTTAAAACATGTATTCTGTTTTTTTTTTTATTTACTGAATACTGCAGGCCCAAAAAGGGACCCAAGCAGGGTGCGAATGTACAAAGAAATGCATTTAAACAACGCAAAATGCACACAAACATTACAAAATGTCAACAATACATAATGAGCAAAAAATAACACAATCAATATAAAACAAAAAACAAACAAGAGAAGAAGGAAGGCGCAAACCGTACAATTATGAAGAACGAACAATGCAAAATTTAGACATCAAAAGTAGCAAAAAACCAAAATTAGACACTAAAATAGAGTCAAACATAAAATGTTGACATATTTCAAGTTAAAGCCACATTAATAAGAGTGCACGATATATAGATACTCATGTATGCATGAAAAAATAAAATAAATAATCACTTTCCAGAAGTTGTGATAGTTTAATAGACAGTGGATCAGGGAACACGAGATAACTAATTAATGAAGGTATAAATATAGTGTATGAATGACTGTAGTGTCAAATGACTACATGTTGTAAAAGATAGGCGGTAAAAAGACGTGAAAAAAGTAGGTTGTTCCAAGCTGTTATGGTGCGTGGAAAGAAGGAATATTTGAAAAGATTAGTTCTTGTACGATGAGGTCTTAAAAAGTCAGCATGACGATGCCGGGTTCTACGAGCTGTAAGTGGTTCTTAATAATGACTTGGGTTTATAGCTAAAATATTATTGGGAATCACTTGGCAGCACCTTCATTAATGCGAAACATTTTTTACCAAACTTTGGTGACTTTGAGCGTATCCATCCACCCATCCATGTTTGTTTGTACATTCGCCCGTCCACCTAGAACTTTCTGTTCTCCAGGCCATGCTGTTAATGAGATTTATACCAAAATTGGTATGGTACAACATGACTGTTGGATGAACATAAATGACAAGTGGTAATATGGAAATCATGACATGTCATGTGCAACACGACTTGCATGCCATGCTCATGGTGCACTCAGGGTTGTTTCGCTAGCTTGATATATACCCCAAAGTCGCTATTGCATGATGCGACTGTATGACGAACATAAATGACAGGTTCTGACATGTAAGTCATGACATGCATGTTATGCACAGCATGATTTGCTCCTTGCTGGCTACTTCTCATTACATCAATGCTCACAATGCATGGGAGCTGCCTATTTTCTGCACCAGATGCAAGTGCAGTGCTCTGGATGAATTTTACACAGTACTAGTTGTATGCAGTTAGTTCAGTGCAATTTTGCATGTTTGTATGAATTAGCATTACTTGTGTACACAACATTTAGTAGTGGATATTCTGCTCGAGATTCAGTGGTAAATTGCTCCTGCATTTCTCACATAACTGCCGCAAAAGCTGCTATAGCAATAAATGAAAGGGGAAGCCTTCTTAGTGGACTGATAATGTGTTCTTGTTGGTTGCAGCAATCTGGATGTGGCACGAGAGTTATTGGTCCAAAGCCAGCTGTGATCCGAATAGCAGAACCTGTCCACTCTGAAAGTCCTAAGCCAAGATCCAGAACTGGTACGAAGTTCTCACCAGTACATACTGCAGTGGCTGACTAGCTCTGCTTTCGATCATTACATTGCAGGTTCAGTAGCTGGCTAGCGGTAGTGCAGAGGCAGGCTGTTCCTTTTTAAGTTTAGGAATTACCTACCTCACTATCTTATGGCCACTGCATCTTATCTTGCCAACCGCTTCAACATCATGCACAGTGCCAGTGTTTATGCACAGTATGCAGCCTATTTCATTCTTAGTTTAACCATTTGGGCTCCTCCATATCCCCTCGCGATTTGGTCATTTTTGGTAGAAGGTATCAAAGATACAGAAATTGTTTCATTCTGCGAACTCTACTAATAACTCTTCTCTGGCATTTTTCGAACTGTTACCATATTTGCTCAATGTAGTAAAGTTGAATTCTGGGTCAATTAGTACATAACGCTAAAGCATAAACCACTCAAGAAGACGGCAGACAAAGGAAAGAAGCAGTGGCGTAGCCAGGAGGTTGCACATCAAGCTTGTGCCCCCTCCCCCACCCCCAAAAAATTCTGCATACTCCCGTGGAAGAAAGTGACACGCAACTGATTGTTTGGTGCATCACTTCTCTTCCTTGTCTTCCACCATCGTCTTAACTGGTTTATGTCTTAGTGTTTCCCAATGTCTGAAGTTCAGCCTGCTTGTTGCCTGTCTTGACATTAAAGTCACCCATCAGTACAGTATACTGTGTTTTTATTTAAGTCATTGCCGATTCCATGTCCTCATTGTTAAGAGAGAGAAGACACCGACACCCGCATTGCCATGGTAAAACCCTTTCTTTTCTTCTCTTTTTATTGCGTGCTCACATGCAGCCCCACTCTGTGCTCACTTCTTTGCGCGTCTCGTGCACAGCTTAGTGTTTCCCGCCGACGTTTTTCCGCAGTAAACTCAACATTCTCCCAGGGCCGCGGCGTGGTCGCTTGCCTGCAAAGCGTGCAATCGTTGAGCGGCGCGACGAACTTGCTCACCGTTTGGGAGGGCGATCTAAAAATACTTTTCAAGGCGGTCTTTGCCTGGAAACACCTCGACTTTTCTGCCAAGCTTCCATTGCAGCACTGGCACGTTGTCGTCCCTAACAACCACCAAGTCACTGAGGGGCAGCTAGGATGAAGACAACGGCTGGCAGTGATGGGCGGAGCACAGGAGAAGTAAATATTCCTTCTTCCACTGTGTCCACGATTGGTGCAGAAGCTCATCGCTGTATCTCACTCTTCTTTGCAAGTCATGTGCAGTGAAAGGAGGCAAACTGCGGCTTGTGCTTGCTGGTAATCCCACAACACGCTTGCCTGTTAAGAAATGTGATGGCGTCAGTGCCTCTGCATCCTCGGCATCCTCGCAGAATTGGGTCAGAGCGTGGAAGTTGACGATTGCTTCCACTTCTGCAAGCACAGTGAGCAGCTCTTCGTAACTGAGGCTGCTTCGTCCAAGGCAGAGAGCACATTTTTAAGTGTCCGTATGACTCGCTTCCAGAAACTTCCCCACCGTGGGGCTCGTTCAGCGACGAACCTCGAATAGATTCGGTGGGTACTTGCGTGGTTTTGCACGGTCTCGCTGAGCAGGATCGCAGTTTCTTAAAACAGTTGCGAAAGGTCTTGGCGTTATCCGAGTAAACGGTAGACAGAATGCCACGCCTAGACGTGAGTGGTCTGTCATGTTCGAGTGTTCTGTCATGTTTGAGGTTGAGTGGTCTGTCATGAAATGAGGGGTCTGTCATTTTCGAGGTTGATTCTCGGTGCATTGCTCGTGTCACCGCACAGGAGAAAGCAGCAATATAAAGTTTCGCCGACTTGAGTAGAGCGGTAGTAGAGTGGGCCGCAAAAGTCCACTCCCGCAACGTGGAACGATGACGCCTCCGTGATGCGGTCTTTTGGTAATGGTGCCACTGGGACCAACTTTGGGCGCAAACGTCCGTGATGACATAGCAAGCATGACTGAAGCACCCTTTTAACAATTCGTCTGCCCTTCAAAAATTCAGAACCTTAATCGGAGGTCCAGCAGCGGAACTTGAACGCCGGCGTGCAGAAGACGGACATGCGTCACGGATATCAAAAGCCTCATAAACACGTGGTCGTTTGGTAGGATGATTGGGTGTTTTAGCTCCTCTAATCCATCAAGTTTCTGTAAGCGGCCTCAAACTCTGAGTGACCCGTCCTGGTCAATATCCGGCCTTAGTGTCAAGACACTGCTACCCGACAACAAAGGCTGGCCCACCTGACGCGTAATGACCTCTGCTAGGAAGGCCATTTTCTGGACAAATTTGAGCTAGTATCGCTACGTGTTATCTATTTTCAGGGACATCAGCAGCCCAGAGAAGAGTGGCGGGTTTCAGTAGGCGTTTCAAACGAACCTTGAAATCCAGGTGGTTACTCTGAGGGGCCTGGAGAGAGAGCTGTACTTCTCTAGGTCCAGTAGTGTCGGTGTATGTATGGCTTGCGGTGAGACTGCAGTTGGGCACACGGCCGCCACTTCGCTGTTGAGGTCCTGCACCATAAGCACCGAGTAAGGATTCAGAGGCCAGATGCCTTCTGGTTCAGCCAACCAAAGAGGTCCTGTCCAACACTTGGCCTCTTGTATTAGAACCGCTGCAAATATTTCGTGCGTCAAACGGTCTGCTGGATTGTCTGCGCTCGTGCAGTGCCACCAAGTGTAGCCTGAAGTCAAGGTCTGAATCTCTTGCACACAGTTTTTTACGAAGTTCTCAAATCGATGAGCATTGTTAGAGACCTAATGTAATGCAATCATGGAATCCGTCCAGAATGAGGCGACCCAGGATGAGAACTCGGGCATTTTCTGGATATAATGCTATAATCTTATCGCGAAAAGACACGCAAGAAGCTCTAAACGTGGCAGAGAAATTCTCTTTAGTGATGTAAGGCGAGACTTGCGCATGAGGAGTCACACTGTAAAACGGCATATTCTAGTGGTTGGCACACTAACATGGCGGCTCCATACGAATGAGGGCTGGCGTCAGCAAACAAGTGTACAATAGCGTGTCCATGATCTTGCGATGCAACTGCGAGACAACGTGGTATGCAAATGGTAGACAAAACAGGCAGTTCGGACACCCACTTCTTCCATATTTTGTCAATGTTAAGTAGAAGATGCTTGTCCCAGCTGATGTCGCCATAGCCTCTGGAACAGGAGTCGTGCTGCCACGTGAAATGGAGCGACGAAGCTTAGTGGGCCGAAAAGTCTGGCGAAGGCTTGCAAAACAGTTCGTTTCGTCGATGGTTGGGTTGCAATGAATGCGAGTGTAGATGATGATGTGATCTGATGAGCGATCCCAAAGTATACCAAGCACCTTGGACTTAAAGCTCTGCTCGGTGACATTCTCAGGTGAGAGGACGTCTTTCAAGAACTCGGCGCATAGAAGGCGAGAGTTGAAACCCACTTTCTCAATTTCATTCCCACATTGGCAATGATAGCATTCGCTTCCCTGTAAATTTTCAACGCCTCCTCTTTGGAAGACGCACCTATGATTAAGTCGTCCATGTAGAATGACTGCTGCAGATGGGAGGACATGTCTGAGTGTTTAGTCTTCCATGTTTCGAGGTGGGGCTGCAGAGTGTCTGACTGCAAGAATGGGCTAGAAGATGCTCTGAAAGGGACCCGGGTGACGCGCCACTCAACGATTGTTGGGACAGGATGCTCAGATGTCGGAAGTTGGTCAAGTCACAGGAAACGAAGAGCGTCTCTGTCTTCCGGGTGGATGCATATCTGGAGGAATGCCTTTCGGATGTCTGCAGTAAGAACAAATTTGCTGCTCCTAAATTGTAACAGTAATTGCAGGAGTTCAGGACCCAGCTTGATGCCTTTATCGAGCATGTCATTCAAAGACTGTTTACCATGTTCATTTGACGATGCGTCGAATATGACACAGACCTTTGTTGTCACGGCCCGTCATCGAACTACCACATGATAAGGCAGGTAGTAGATCGTATGTCCAAGAGGTGCTGATGGTGCTATTTTCTCCGCATGGCCTTCCTTAAAGTGCTCGCTGATGGTGGCATGGTATTCCTGCAGAACCTCTGGGGGATGCTCGAATCCCTGAAGCTGATGCTTGTGCATGGTTTCAGCCACGCTTCGGTTCGTAGAAGACGTGAGACTTGGTGTCTTGATCATCAGCAGTACCTCGTAGTGTCCTGCACGCTTGCATACTGTGCTACGAAAGTGTAGGAGTGCTAGGTGCTTGCTGACATCGTCTTGTCCATCAGTGATACCGATGGCATCCAAGCCCTAGATATCTCCACTTCAGTGCACCAGTTGTCGCAACAAGCCAGGAACAAGGCAGTGGCACTGATGTTACGCGATGACAACTGATGGTTGACTTTAGTGCACACTTCTTGAATGACCAAGTCAAATGTGGTCTTAACTGCACACAGAGTGTCCGTGAAACACCCGATGCGCCCGGTCAGTACTGCCCAGTAGTGGTCGGAGCCGATCAAAACGCTTATCATGGAGTATTGGCGTTGGTTCCTTTGAGTTTCATCAGCAAATGCCTGATTGCAGTCACACATCATAGCGACAACGCTCAGCTCTAACGTGGGACCATTTATGGTGCAGACCTCCAGAGCTTCAAGATCAACATCGATAGGCTCCATACGTCCACAGAGCGTGACGTTTACCCTTAGACACTGGTAACGCCGTAGATGATTTAACCCGCAGAATGTAAAGACGTCGACCTCTTCAGTTACAGTGCAAAATAGCCAAAGCTGCTGCGATAGGTCCTTACGGATGAACGTTTCGTGGAAAAACACAGACGACGAGCGCATGCTGCTTGCAGGAGCCGTTGTTACGCGCTTTTCTTGCTATGAGGCCACCTGGCGAGGTTCAGTTTCACTCAACTGTGGACTGTCAGTTCCTTGTTGGCCCCAGATCTCGCACAAAGCAGAGATAAGGCGTCCTGAGTATTGGTCGCACTTAAGGGGGGACACGGGTCTTAGAAGGCAAAAAATCACAAAAAATTGACGTTTTGAAGCTGACATTTT